GTCAAACGTGTTTTTTTTTCTTTCTGAAGCATTCCTCACCTCGCCGCCTCATTTTAATATTTCCATGAAACGAGAAACAAAGAATTGTTTTTTCCTGGTTAAACAACACCCATTGCATACATCACATGGAACCAATATCAAACACAACGACCAGCCTCCTTTAATATATTTACACAAACCATCAAAATAATGAATAAATTGTAGTGATAACAAAAATAAACTTACAATTTGTTTCTCTGTGTATTTATTTGAGCTGAGTAGATTGACCGCTTCCATGTGTCCAAAATCAATATCATGCCCCAGTAGGAATATAAACAACAGTTTACAAACGTACTTCTTTTTCTGGTATCCATCTAATGTTTTATCTCCTATTAATAAACATATACATGCACAAATTAACGTGTGAAATATACGGTAAAACCTGTCATTTTAGCTCACATTATTTTAGCTAATTTAACTAATCTGTAGTTTCATCAATTCAAGACGTAGCTAATTTAACAGAATTTGATCACAATAAGATAGTTGACACTTAAATTAAGATTCTGTTGTACAGACGATCAAATGTGGACAACGTGCAGAGATAATTTCAATTTTGACAAAACCGTATTACTTTGCAGTGGCTTTTCAGCGATTGCTTGAGAATTCCAAGGAACTTTACCATCTGAATGAAACTCCAGGTAAATTATTTCAATACAACAACAGTTATGACAAAAACTAGTTATTCTAGTATTTTATTATCTGAATCAAACAATTTTATGAATAATTATTCACATAGATAATGCTGAATTACTAGATATTTTTATGACTTAAAGACCAAATGTACATTTTTGAGATCATTCCTAAAGCTTTATTGGTACGTGTATTTTGGCACTATTTATGTGAAAAATTTGTTGAAAAAATTGTTTTGAAATGTCGTGCAACATCCATAGATTTAAAAACATTCACCACTGTTCTGAATTAAAAACAATGATGATGATTAATTCAATATTCCAGGCATTTTATGCAAATTCAGATCACCAAATACATCACATATTAGTTTCCAAGACCCTAATAAAACTATATGAATGATTTCAGTGTCACTTTAAGGAGGTTCACAATAGTAACTTTAAAGATCACAAAAATATGCGTCAAAAATATTCAGAACCTCACATTTGTTGAATATTTCCTAATTTACGGTTAACATAAGGTGCCAACATGTAAACTGCATAATACATTAGTCATAATCATAAGTGTTAAAGGTATACATTTGACCCCTGAAAGACTAATAGTGACAGCAGTAATTGCAATAAGTACCGTCTGTGCAATAAAAAAAAATAATCTACTGATTTTTATTCACTAACTATATTTACATGCACATTGATTTAGCAAATTGTTTGAATTCCAGCGTTGAAACATAGCGTAACTATCACAACATGAATGGTGAAAAAGTCCCTACAAAATAATAGTACAGCAACATATCGAAGCAAAATTTGGAATTATTGTAACCACAAGACGAAGACAATTATCTTGAAAAATACAAAATAAAACACATTAAAATTGAGCTTTGGTAAGATCACAAACTGCTTAATATAATATCGAAATCGGTAAAAGTGTTTACAACAGAGTCAACAACAACAAGGGCAGACATGTTCTACCAGTATACCTTGATCTTCATCTACATTGATACTGACAAGTAAAAATCATTTTTTTTTTAATAAAACAGAGAGTAAACTAATTTCATATTTTTTTGTATGTACATGCTTGTCAATCTTATAAATCAAAAATCTTGACCGGGAAAAATATATTTTCAAATTATACATACAACTGCCAAGTAATATGAAATGTTGCAATTCTCAGATTATGCACAGACTTTAAGTAATGTCTCGTAAGCTCCAACTTGTAGCATATTAATATATTTCACAGTTTATAATCTTGCATAGCAGTATTAATATTACTTGAATTATGTAACAAGATATTATTTCATCTGAATTTGTTGTCAGGGTAGATTTTTGTCGTCCACTGCATAATGCATAACGTCCATATGACACTGAGCCATCTGGTGTTTGTATGAGATTTGTTTACATCATTTGCTTTCAGCGAAAAATTTATAAATACACATAGTTAGTCACATAGTACTTTCTAACTATTTCATAGATTTTTTAGTCTATACATGTATGTTTGGTAAAAAAAAATGCTGTTACTGTCAATTACTGGGAATTAATTTTTCGCTACTTTCACTAAAAATACCGTTTTTCCTATATTTTACATGCAACTCTTGAAATATCAGTGAAAATATACTTATTACAAACAGGAATAATGTCCTTTCGAGCAAAAACTATTGCCAACTAGAATATTTTACAGTATTTGCCAGAAGTAAGAGATACAATGAAAATAATGACGACTGAATAAAAATAACAAACAAAGAAAACTGTCAATTGCAGACATACAGAGGAATTGTATTCAACACTATAAATGGCAGCTATACAACATACAAATTAATTACCTTTGAATTTGGATCTAATATTGGCCAGTTCTTTATTGATTCTTTTGATTTCTGCTTCTTTGCTTTTACCTGCAACAAAATAATGTGAAAAATTGAGCCATGAGGTTGTGCTGAACCAGAACTTACATTCATTTTGACATGCACTTGACATCATATAAATGAAAGTCAAATTCACCTTACATATGCTTATTACAATTATGAATGCGCATGCATAATTCATCAAAAGTTGGCAAGAAAAATGATGGCATTCAAGTTAGTCATCCAAGAATTGTAAATCATTAAAAAAAATAGACACCTGTTAAACACGAGAGACTACATTCACACACGTAGATCAGTCAGCGAATGTATATAGTGTTATATACAGTTCAAACTGATCGGTTTTTGCATTACATTTGATCAACTCAATCATGATATCACAACCAATCAGGCGTGCACATGTGGTATGAAGCGAAACAATTTGCAACAAAAGAGAAAACGTTTAAAGCTAAATTGCTGTCATAAAATAGCTATGCAAGAGTCACAATGAGAAATTACTACAACGTTTGGTAAGGTATGATAAATGGCTACTGTCAATTAAGTCTGAACGCAGCAATTGTACGATTTAGTACTCTAGACATATGCAAGTAATACATTATAGGGTTCTCAGACACACATTGTGTATTTTTGCCAATATTTTGCATAGTTAACATGTATCACTATGGTGATTTTCAAGCTACATGTACAGAGGAAGCATATTATTTATCTAATTTAGCTACCTTTAAATTTGTCTAATTCAAGGTGTAGCTAATCAAGCATGAAGTCCACTCTAAGTAATGATATTGCTCTTCAGCTGAATTGAAATTCGGCTAATTCATACAATTTGTTCTAAAATAACATGTAGTTTATTTGAAGGTGTTTGACAGTATGATTATACATGTACTAGAAGTAGCCTGGCAAATATTCATTTATTTATGTATTTATTACTACATTTTCATCCCCAGAGGAAACGATAAAGATTTCATTTCATGAATACGCAAGGTACTAAGTAATAGAGCAACTACTTAACTATCTAGTAAGCCTGATCTGGAAGATATATGTAGTAACCAACGGCAAATTACATTTGATATTAATAATCACAAATCATGAATTATGTCACTATGAATTTCTTGTCTGAAAATCAATCGACTAATTTGTATACTAATATACAAGTATTATGTTAATTACCCCCATAGTATTTACTGTTATATTGTAATTTTAGTGGGGTCAACACACTATAATACTCAACTGGAGGAAGGAGATCCCTAACCTATCATAACATTTTCTATGAGATAAAATAGGCATTCCTTGTTCATTGTTTTGAAATAGAGGAGATAATAACAAAATGAGATGCTGATGAATCTATGGTATAAAATGTGTGTGCCACTATAAATCACTGTTACTTGTACTAGAAACACAAAATGACCACCAATCGAGCCATGTATCAGTACATTACCTGAAATAATAAAATTTCCAGTATTTCAGTTTGGGATGAGTTAGTATACCCTGTCATATTTACAAACCAAAAATTCCAGTATTTCAGTTTTGGATGAATTAGTATACCCTGTCATATCTAGAAACCAAAATTTCCAGTATTTCAATTTTTGATGAATTAGTATACCTTTTCATATCTACAAACCAAAACAAAACAAAATTTTCAGTTTTGGATGCATAAGTATACCCTGTTACCGGTATATCTAGAAAAAAAAATTTCCAGTATTTCAGTTTTGGATGAATAAGTATACCCTGTCATATCTAGAAACCAAAATTTCCAGTATTTCAGTTTATGATGAATTAGTATACCTTTTCATATCTACAAACCAAAACAAAACAAAATTTTCAGTTTTGGATGAATAAGTATACCCTGTCACATCTACAAACCAAAATTTCCAGTATTTCAGTTTTGGATGAATAAGTATACCTTGCCATATCTAGAAACCAAAATTTCGAGTATTTCATTTTGGGATGAATTAGTATACCTTTTATCACATCTACCAACCAAAATTCCCAGTGTGTTTCAGTTTTGGATGAATTAAATGTAGTATACCTTGTCACATCTACAAACCAAAATTACCAGTGTATTTCAGTTTTGGATGAATTAGTATACCCTGTCACATCTACCAACCAAAATTTCCAGTGTTTCAGTTTTGGATGAATTAGTATACCCAGTTTGATTTAAACAAATTTGATAGTGCAGAGATACTGACATCAGCACAGGATTTAAATTCATTGGTTGGTGAAGAAAAAAAAATACATACTATTGTTTGCATACTCACAAGGTTTTAATTTAGGGTTTCCATGTACAGATGTCAGTGAAAATAAACCCCAGTGTATAACTAGGCCCTCCAGTTAGGGCGTATATAATACACTATGACATAACTAAACTTTAAAAGGGAATGCTGACAAACCCTGTGACAGCAAGAATGAATGTGACCCATTAAACTGCTACTGTAAAAACTGTATTAGAAGCTGCATCCTGAATAGAAGTCGCACCCACTCTTTTTTAACAATTAGGGATCAAAAATTCACCATTTCTCATATGTGTAGATAAAAATAGAATCTACACAATAGAATAGAAGCCTCATCCCCTGTGTTGCATTGTACCATTTTATAAATAAACCATGGCTTCTAATAGAGATTTTCAGTAATCAGTCAATTTTCTTCCATTGTAGATCCAATCCTAAATTGGATTGAAAGTTTGACTACATTGCGACTGCTAGCGATACTCCACGGTGTTACACCTACGTATATACATGTAACTTCAGGCATGGATATTCACAAATAACAAATAACTGAGATAACTATCACGTAAAGAAACAAAGCAGTGAAGTCATTTACTAGATATCTTGGGGCTGCCAGGAATATGTGTCGGCTTCATTTCACATTGCATTACATATACACAAATGATTTGAAAAATACTTGCAATGGTGTGATAGAGGACATGGGGCTGGCAGGATAAGGGTCAAGTCAATATAAAAGTATGTACTTTTACACTGACTTGACCAGATAAGGAGTGGCAGGATAAGGGTTAATAAATTTATCAAGGCTTACTTTACATCATACTTTGGTCACAAGTATTTATAATTTACAAATTGCAAGTAAATAAATAAATAAATTTAAGTGATTAGTAAATGAATATGAATAAGCCATACTTGTAACCCTAGATTTTAAAAGTCTGGGGGTGGTGTCTGATCAGCCTTGATAAAGTTGATTAAAAGTGCTACATGTATAGAAAGTGACACAGTCCTTGTTTTTCATTTGTACATGTATGATCATGTCTTGCAACAAAACTGTAATAAGACTGTGACTTATTACGTCAGGCCATTTTCACTGTGCCATTTTTTACCTGTGCAGCGTGATAAAAACACAAGCATGTGAACACCATATAGATGCCTTCTTCCACCAAAACAATACCATGCATACCAAACTAAAACAAGTCATTGAAAATGACACAGTCCCCGTTAAGTTCTCTTTGTGCTTGTCATATTAAAGCGGAGGGGTTGTCGCGAGCATGTCCTTGAAACTTGAGTTCCAAGTGGCATATACAACAGATTGTTTATTTACATCAAAACGTGTGTTTCGTGTCATAGTAATATGGCCAAAATAAAAACAGTCGTTATTCAGCCATCTTTGATCTGATTATGAAACACACTGATATGTATGATGTGTGTGCCAAATACGAATGAAAATGGTACATAAATTGTGGAAATATAGTAGTAAGGCCAAAAAGTCAGATGGCTGTCAATCGGCCATCCTTGACCAGATTTTGAAACAAATTGTCATGGACATGCATCCTAACATGTATAAAGTACATGTATGTGCCAAATTTGAATGAAAACTGACAGAGCACGTCCAAGATACTGCATAAAAAAAACAAAAACAAGATGCCTACCAGTCGACCATCTTTGATCCAATTGCAAAATAAATCGTCATGGACATGTATCCTAACATGTATAATCTATGTACCAAGTTTGAATGACAACTGACAAAGCATGTCCAAAATACAACATTTTCAAAAAACAAGATGGCTGCCAGTCGGCCATTTTGAATTGAATCGCTAAACCACTGCATGTGCATATGTCCCACATAAGGTACTAGGCACATGCAAAGAATGAACGGAATCGGTCCACAGGATTCTGAAATATGACGTTGGATAGACTGACACACGGACAGACGGACACACAGAGGTCGGACAGACAAACTCAGGAACTCACGGACGGTCGGGGACATGTATCCTAACATGTATGATCTATGTACTAAATTTGAATGAAAACTGACAAAGCATGTCCAAAATACGACATTTTCAAAAAACAAGATGGCTGCCAGTCAGCCATCTTTGATCCAATTGTGAAATAAATCATCATGGACATGTATCCTAACATGTATAATCTATGTACCAAGTTTGAATGAAAACTGACAAAGCATGTCCAAAATACAACATTTTCAAAAAACAAGATGGCTGCCAGTCGGCCATTTTGAATCGAATCGCTAAACCACTGCATGTGCATATGTCCCACATAAAGTACTAGGCACATGCAAAGAATGAACAGAATCGGTCCAAGGGATTCTGAGATATGACTCCGGACGGACACACGGACGCACGAACGGACACCGAATTATAAGTCCCTGTTTTCGGACTTCGTCCGAATGGGGACTAAAAAATATTATACATTCAAACCTGTGTTTAACAGTGATCACATCTATTACAAATACCACCTGTCTAAAGTTAAGTGACGACTTTTAGGCAATTGCAAGACATAAAGTATGAGCAACCTGTGTATAAAAACCACTTGGCTTATTTATGTGAGCACCCTTTCAGCAATATATTTTGCAGATTCGCTTTTATTTCAAGACCAAAATACTAATTAGTGTTCATAAAACAACCTCCATATAAAAATCACCTGTAAAGACAATTTTAATGAAGTCCCTCAGGTGGTCATTATACATGGGTTTGACAGTACTGTATTAGAAGCCGCATCCCTAATAGAAGTCGCACACATTCTTTTTGAATAATTGGAAACCAAAAATTCATCATTTCTCACATGTTCAGATGCTCTAATAGAAAACTAATCCCCTCTGGTGTATTGTACCATTTCACTAGAATCTGCGGCTACTAATAAAGATTTTACAGTAATAATAATGCCATTTTATATGCAATTCAATACATCACATTGAATCTATATTGAACATGACATCATGCAAGACTGGCACTTTAAAAATATTTATCAAATTTTACACAGCAGTGAAAATAACAAAATTATAAATACATGTATATGGAGTATTATTTGTGTGTCCTGCATGCAGAGCTGACAACTGCTGTCAAATCATTTTGGCCGGAAAGCGTTTCCCAATACTTTGTATACATTTATATTTCTCCTGTACAATGTCACTATGTTATCTATGCTACCCCACTGTATGGGTGTGTATCCTGCTTCCGGTGCGTTCCACAGGAAACATTACAACTGTTCCCCAAATTATAATGGCTTACATGTACATGTACCTGATGAACTAAGCTAATTTGGTAAAAAATTAAAAAAATTTAAAAGCACTACAAATTTGATATTTTAGTGTTCCATTTAGTAAATGTCAAGGAGTAAGTACAGACACTTGTTTATTATGAAATTTCTCATTATGTTGAAGCCTATTCTTGTGGCTTTGTGAATTGCAAAATGGCCAAAAGAGGTTACCGATTCAAGATATAGTTAGTTTCAAAAAGTAGTATTCCAATTTGTTCTTCTGACTTTTAAAAAATCAATCACAGGGAATGAATTCCCAAAATTTCAGGAAATTTCCATATCATAGTGTTAGCAACCACCCACCCTTTAACCAGTGATGTTAACTGTCAAATTTTAGCCACTGTAAAAGTGCTCTAAATTTCATGAAAAAATCATGCGACTTCATAGTTTAAAAAACTTGAGTGAAATTTCCACTGTTTAACAAAATTATCTCATTTTCTCAGACTTGTGAAATGTTTAAACTTGTCTCCTGCAAAATAAATGTATTTTTACGAACATGAACACACAAAGCAGCCTTATGTGATAATTAACTATGTGATGTTCACATATTAGACCGATCTCTGAATGCATATTTTGTATACCCCTGATGGCCTACAGGGTATATTGAATTACATTACATCTATCCAGATCAGCAGATTCAGAAATTGCCAAAAGCATGAATTAAATTATAATGCAAGAAACATTGGTTGCATAATGCCATCAGATAACACTCTTGTTTGTACACAAGAC